ACCGGCAGGCCAAGATAAGTGAAAGGTAGTTCCCCAACCTTACATTCCAGCACCTCTGCATAATGCCTTCTCCACACTAAAGTTCCCAACTGCTATCAGTAAACTTATTATTAGATTCACCTTCAAACCTGTCAACATCTCGAAGTTGGCTAAAATAGCCTTACAATTCAGCACTTGATTTTCTGAAGTATCTAAGAATATTAGTGTATCATCAGCATATTGTAGGTGAGATATACACGGGCCTTCATTTCCAACTTTGAAGCCTTCTAACCATCCTCTCTGCACTCCTTTCTTCATAGTCAAATTTACAGCTTCCATAACTACTACAAACAGCAGAGGGGAAAGTGGATCCCCTTGCCTCAGCCCTCTAGAAGCTTGGAAAAATTCTGATGACACCCCATTGATTAACAATGAGAAAGAGGCTGATGAGATGCACCCGTATATCCACCCTCTCCAAACCTCTCCAAATCCCATCAACCTTTGCATTTCCTCCAAGAAACCCCATTCAACGTGGTTGTAAGCCTTTTCTATGTCTAATTTGCACACTAAACATGGCCTTCCACTTCTTAATCTTGAATCTATACATTCACTGGTCACCAGCACTCCGTCCAAAATCTGCCTCCCCTCTACAAAAGCCATCTGAGTTTCCCCTATCACCTCCTGAATTACTTTTCTCAACCTTTCTGCTAGCACTTCAACCAACAGTTTATAGGGGCTGCTTATCAAACTAATCGGTCTGAAGTATTTTATGTTTACAGCCCCACTTTTTTTCTATAATATGGTGATGGATGTGGCATTTGCCCTCCTTTCAAGAGTTTTGGATTCCCAAAACTCCTTGTACATCTGCATGAAGTCTTCTTGCAAAAAATATCAACAACTTTTGATGAAATTAAAGTTGAAACCATCTGGCCCTGGTGCTTTGTCACCTTTGATCTTTTTCAGCACCTCCTTTACCTCTCCAACTTTGAGATCCCTTTCCAACCAACCTATTGTATTGCTGTTTAGCCGATTTGGTTCCAATTCTCCTAAGGACACCCAACTCCAGTTTCTCCCTGCGTACAGCTTTTTATAGTAAGCAACCATTTTTTCTTGAATCTCCCCCATGTGTCTATCACCTCCTCCTCCACTTTGATCCTTGTTATCAAGTTTCTCCTCCTTCTCCCATCTGCAAAAGCACGGAAGAAAGAGGTGTTCTTATCTCCCTCTGTCAGCCATGAAGCTCTAGATTTCTGCCTCCACCTGACTTCCTCCCTCAACATTAGATCTTCAAGTTCAGATTCCAAGGTGGCCATCTCAACTTGGTTTTCTTTCCTGAACTCTCCCTCCTCTCTCACTCTTTCTAATCTGGCCAGCTTCTCCAAGATCTCTTTCTTTCTGCCCTCTTCCCTTCCAAATACTTATTTTTTTCTTTCCCTCAACTCTTGCCTGATAGTTTGCAGCTTTTTAATCACTTTTAGGTCTGCTGGTCCTTCCACTTGCACGTTTTTCCACTTGCTTTCAACCCATTCCACGAAGTTTGGTTGGAGTAGCCAAACATTTTCGAATCTAAAAGGTTTTAGCCTGCAGCAGCAACAAACTTCCGCAGAAGAATTGGCTTATGATCTGACAATTGGAATGTCAATGGTTCTTGCACCACTTCCCCCACATAGTCAGACCAATCTCCTGAGAATAAGAATCTGTCCAACCTCTTGAGAATAACTGGCATTTGTCCATTCGACCAGGTGAACTTCCCTCCAATCAGCGGTGGATCTATCAATTCATTGCTGTTAAGGAATTCTTCAAACCACCTCATACCTACAGAAATTCTGCTATCCCTCCCCCCCCCCCTTCAT